TGACAATAGCCGGGCACAGCTATGTGACACACCAATCCATCCACCTTAAGAGGGTAATAGATGAATGGATCATGGATCATGCTGTTTTAGGTCTTGAGGGGCCAGAGGCGAGGACATTTTGGACAAGCGACCAGTCAATCACATGGCTGACATTATTTCCCACGATCAATCAAAATGAAGTGAGCAGTCTCCAATATGTCAATTGAGAAACAGGATGCAACAGATTAGCATACCAATGCAAAACCTGCGCTGCATGTTCATTGGAAAATCACCTTAAGGGAAGTGCCCTTCAAATCCAACTATCCTTCTCTTCCTGATGCTGATGTGAGAAAACCATCTGTTACTTCTCTAACCTCCACACACTGTGAATAATGTGAAGGGGAAAAACGTAATAAAGCTTAATCTGCTTGCCTCTCCATCGAAAGCACTGAGTAACATTTAGCACTGTCAAAAGGTTTAGAGAGAAAGCAGATGGCCAGAGACATCAGTACAGATGGGCAAGATGAACTCTGTTTGAGGCCAGTGTGTCCGAAAGAGGAGCAAAGAGAGATTCAGCAAAGGATTCAGACAGCAAGAACAGAAAAACATACAGAAGCGATTATCTAGAAAGTGTTATAAGCAAATTATGCAATAAAAAAAAAATCCATGTGTTATCATGCAAAGCTTGCCAAATCCTTTCACGTAGATTATTAGAGAAAAGTGGTGAAACAATAGTGAATCTCTGTCACTTCATTTTGACACACACCAGCATTAGCTCATATTGGATCTACTCCTATATATATATATATGTATATTATTCTGATTAAAATGTATTTGAGTTTCTATGATATAATGAAATCCTTGAACAAAAAGAAAGAGGTGTGGACTTGAATCATGTATTTGATGACTTGACTTGAGAACATAAAACAAGACTTGCAGCTTGACTTGGACTTTACCACAGATGACACAACATTTTTCTTGGATTTAAGCCTTTTGATTGGAAAATACTTCCCCAACACCAAAGATGATTATATATATTTAAAAATCATATAGCCACATACTAATCAACACATGTTACCGCTATTAGACACCCCAGATTTAATCTATGAACCAATCTGACAGCATCCAATCAAATGTCAGGATTACTGGTCGTCTGCTGGAAAGAATATACCTAAAATCATTTCATACTGGTACTAATTGCATCAAGCAAAATGTGTCTGAATCTGTGAAGAGCAAATGTAAGACTTGTTGAAGCTCAAAGTTTAGGACTTGGGGCCTGATTGTAAAGACATACTTGTGCAAAACAGTTACTTGTGAGATGAAAATGAACAAGGAGAGATGGCTGAGCAAATGTACATAATCACCGTTTGTAGTGTTGTGTGAAGATGGAATAAATAGCCCGGGTGTTGTATTATGTATTTCCCCCTTGCTTCTCCTCTCCTAATTGCCGGTTTGTACTACCAGTCTTTGTTTTCTGTTATTCTCTCACTATCCACTTTGTTACCATTTCTTCTGTTGCCTATTTCATCCACATCCTACAGTATGAATACCAGAATAAACAGTTAAGCGTGCTAATACAAGAGCCTGTGTTATATACTGCGACAGTGTTCCCATACTCAAAGCTATAACCCACAGTCACCACAAAACCCAATATAATCAGATTTGAATCTCCCTCAGAACATTATGAATACATTACAGCTGAATTCGCCCAGACCATAGTATATGATTCTAAAAATAAATAGCCTTCTTCCTCTGTTCCCATACTTCAGGCTATCGCTCAGAGACTCTACAGAGCTCGGAGCGTTTTTTCCCATCATGATGGTGCCTGAATAACTACTGATAGTTGACCTCTGTTCCATGCTGTCAGTGTCCCTCATGCACAATGCTCCCATGAGTCACACATCTGGCAACAAAGCATGGAAAACTGGAAACTATTATGTGTGTCGATGGTTGCTAAATTCCACCTAACTGCTAATAGCCATACAACACAGTGAAACTGCTCAACTGAGGCATACTATAGATGTATCATTTTTTGACAATTAGGACTGCATTTAGTATTCTTTTCATGATTCATTCATCTCATTTGATGTATTGACTTGTCATTAAATACTGAAAACTGCTCATTACATTTAGCAGAATCCTAGTTAGTCAGCAGGACTTCCTGTTGTTGCAGTATATTATGTTGTTCTATGCAACGCCAGCAATTGTTGAGCACTATTGCTCTACTTGAACTTTGAATGTATTGATTGTGTAAATCACAGTTGTACCAGTGTGCCAGTGATGACGCAAGATAATTACGACTCATGTCTAGAATAAGAAAATTGCTACCCTATGTTGAGCCCTGTTGCGTGTTTGTTATGTATTTTAGACATATCATCTTCTCATGTAAGGCAAGGCGTCACTAACTCTTGGACATAAACAGGCACAAAAACCATAACATGGGCTTACTATTGTTCCACTATCTGACAGAAGAAGGAGAGCGCACAGAGAGGGTGACTGTGACGGAGGGCAATGTTTGTGTTCATGTGCGTTTAGTAAGACAGAGATGATGGCTACGGCCACACATGTCACATCAGGAAACCTGATTATCCATCAAGGATTACACTTTAATCAATCTAAAGCACTAGTCCCTGTCTGTGAATGTGCTAATCCCATCAAAAGCAGGGCTCTTTCTGCTTGTCAGTAATGCTCTTCCCATTCGCCGCCATGCTTAACACTTCACAAAGCTGTATGTCAAGAGTCAAACGGGCTGTGGCTTGGAGACGTCGTGCCCCCCTCCCCTCCCTGAGCAGCACTGCATTTAATCCACCAACAATTCATTCAATTTCAAGATGCTGCAGAGAGGATTTTCTCATTGGTGAGGCAAAGTACATTTTAATGTTGACAGCTACAAGAAAAATTGCATTTAAGTCTTCAGCGATTATTTGTGGCTGCCATGGTAATAAGTGTCATACTTTTTACATTCACCTGTCATTTTAACTGAAGAACAGAACATTAATAACATTGTTAAACCATGACTTGACTCATTCATTATTTATTGAACAGTAACACTAATTGATGACAGTAATCAATTAATCATTTAAGTAATTTCATTATTAGACATGGGAAACATCTTCTAGTTCAAGCTTCTCAAATACAGACTTTTCTTCTTCCTCTCTGCTTTGTATCATTGTATACTTCATTAATATGAGATTTCAAACTGTTGTCTGGACCAAAGATCTAAAGATGTCACTTGCGACATTTCTTGATTATTAGACTTTTGATCTGCTTTAGTCATTGTTTGTTTGTGTGTATGTATGTGCTAACAAACACATGCAGAATGTGTTTTTATGCTCACACTAATCACTAATCTAGCAATATCACTCTATTCTATCTATCACTCTAATCAGTGTCTAGCACTGTCATGGTATCTTGATAACTGACTTATCCTGGTCATTTTAGGCCCTATGCCACACACACATACAGAACACTGTTTCCAAATTATGAAACTCAAAAGCACAATAATCCTTTTATTTAATCAGAAATACATCAGGAAGTGGAACATGTGAATGTCGGAACGGAAGAAAAACACAGTATTGAACCAACATCAACTACACTACTAGTGTGCCTGTGTGTATCTGTGTCTTTGATGAAACCCCCCACCCTTTTATCTCTCCTCTTAGCCTCACTTTCACACATCCCAGATGAATGGATGGATAGAAAGAGGGAGGGGGTGGATAGGGAAAAAGAGGGAGAGATTTGAAAGGGAAAGAGAAGTCACTAAGGGACATGCACGCAACAAGGAATACACAGCTTACGAGCATTCAGGATAAAAATAACCTAAGAGCAAGGAAGAGACTTTCTTTTTTTTCGTGCAGACCTCTTTCCATCCATTTGTGCATACATGTCAAACATGTGCATGGTGTTGCAGCTCAGACAGAGGATGGAGGAGAGAATCATGTTTGCAGCTTGGGTAAAGGAGAGGGAATAAACACACATACTGTACATATACTGACACCATAAATCTACTGGTACATCAAAGACACAGAGGTTGTCAAGATAGCCTTCGCTTCGCACAGTAAACAAACAGATGGCCACCTATGATGATGTGCCAGATAAGAGTGCAGAAGAGCAAGAAGCTGAGATAAAGATGATAGGACTGGACCTAACAGACATACTAAACACAACCCATCTGCTTAATCCTGTTGACTAAAATTAGGTTTCAGGTTAGTTATTTCATTCCATTTTAAACCACAGTTGGCATGTCTCACTGAAATGGTTCAGGACAAATCTGGGGCTCTGGCTTGTGGCCAAATTGCCGCATTGCATAGAGAGCTGTGAAGCGGCTTAGTCAGCTGTGGACAATGCACAGCGGTGGCATCATGACACAGAAAAACAAAGCGTCAGTGGGTCACTTTTGGTTTGTATTTGTACCACAATGAAGGCTGACTTTAGCTCTTGGGAGAAAGCATTACCACACAGCAGGAACAAAGTGTGATGTACTCACGCCTCATAGCATTAAAAGCCTTTTTCCCCCCTTTTTCTTTGTTTTTCTGTTGACAGGTGCAATATACAGTGCATTCTGTAGCATTTAGATAGGGACTTTTAACCATTTTCATTCTGCAATTTCAATATCTTGATGTCAATTAATATGTATTTATAGTTCTTTCAATAGGCATAAATACGTAACAGTCTGATTCTGATAGTACATCTGTACCCTTACCATGACAATCTGAAACATTCATTACTCTTAATATAATACACAATGACAGCCGACCAAGTAGTCTTATCTGAAAAGGAAAGCCTTCCGTCACTGCACAATTTGCGGTACAACCAAATTCTGGCGGTGTGGAAACTCATTTGCTCCGAGGCTGGGCCTCAGACGAGAGTTTCATTAAGACCCTAATGTTGCTAAGGAAATGACTGCGGTGCAATGAAATCTCCCCAGAAGAGTGAGTGTACTCGTGCTACAGAAACCCTCATTTAAGATGCCAATTATATCCAGGGTGCAGATTGTGCTCTCTCACTCACTCCCCTTCCACCCATCACGGCTGCCTCCTCTCACCGTTTTCTCCTCTTGCTTTTTTCTTCTCCATCTTATCCTCTATCTTTTTCTCTCTCTCCTTCCCTTCCTCCATCTCTCTGCATCTGATTTGCTGGATAGGAATAGAGCCTCAGTGTTTCAGGAACCCACTGCTGACTGATAGAAATATCTGATTTGGAGGGGACACATGCAGGCAGAAGGATAGATAGCGGGGGAAACATGGCCTCTGGAATGTTCTGCTGACATTTTCTCTCTTCTTCTCAAACTCATTCATTCCTTTAATGTTTTCTCTACCAGGCCTCGCTATAGCTGACAGTGGAGACATGAGCTGAAAGAAGGTTTCTGTCTCCCTTTTTCCCAACCTCCCTTCCTCCACTAGTCCTACTCAATGCTTTTGTTTCTATTTGTTGCAAACTTCCCTTACTTCTCACCCTAACTCACACCTTTCTTGCCTACATTCATTCATTTCCTCCTCCTTAGAATCAAGCACAAGATCCCCCCTCTGTTACTTTATTGTCATTATGTCCATTCCTCAGATGCTGCAAAGAGTACTCCACAGGATGCTATCTGTCCAGCAAAATGCATCTAGCAGCAAGATGAAAGGCACGCAGCACTGACTCAAAATTAGGGGCTATCTGTTATCTGATTGGCTTACATCGAGAGCTGTCTGTGGATTTTAGTTACCAGGGAGAACAGGGAGATAATGGCACTGTGTCAGCAACTTCTCGAGCTGCAAGGGCCATAAGAAGAAAGGCTGGCCGGTCACATAGAAGTATGTCTTGTCACAGTATTTGTATAATTGAATGTTAGCCTTTATTCTTCATAACTTCACTCTAGGATTTATATACAGTATATACAGGAGCTATAAACATCACTGACAACATACTTTATGGAAACCCATACATAAACTATCTATGTGAAAATCTTCAAAGATTAACTTCTTCCCCATGAGTCATTATTGTTGCAATTATACTGCCTCTGTCTAAAAACAACTTAGTGACTCATAAACAGAGGAAATCATCTAATGGACTTTAAACAAACACTGTCTGCGCAAAAAGTGTCGTTGGAGCTACACTATGAAAGAGTCACAGGGAAGCGATGTCGTCCCAACTTTACTAGTGCATTAATACAATTTCCTAGTGGGAAAACAAATATTTAAATGGGAAAATTAAAATGAGCCAGAGCGCATTAACTCAAATAGTTTAGTAGTTATGTCACAATACTCACAGTTTGTTCATCTTAATAGTGATCTATTCATTTCCTTCATTTGTTATCAATATTGTCAAAAATGATAAAAGGAATATATCTAAAACTAGTTTTGCAACATCAATATTATACTTCAGAAGCTATATTTCAGAATGACAGATGGCTTTAGACAGCGGGCCCTGATGGACAGTGAGAAGATGGAGGACTGCCTGATGATACAATCTTGGAGCTGGAGTCATTCATGGTGGGTGTGTGCCAGTTCAAGTGCTGCAATCTAGTCTGATTGTGTCACATTGACACCTGTGCCTTCCCTTTCCCCCTCCTCTTATGCCTCTGACTCTGGAGTATCTGTGAATAATAATCCTCCACAGGATGCAGCTCAGGCCAGGATATGCAAATACATCTTTGTCAACCCACTTCAACATAATCATTCCTGAAATGCACACCTCAAAGGATCAACTCGTGAATTAGAACAGTCATAGATTTTGCTTTTCATCTTTTGCCAGATTGTCTAATGTTGCAACAGTGACAGGTCTCTACTGATTTCAAGCCATTTTTGTTTCTATATCTGCCACTTACCTGTTGCCTTCCAGCTGTGTGTGTTCTGCCTGCCAAGTCTGCTGTGTTTGTTTGCCTGATCCTGACTGCCAGTCACCAAGTGTTACCATAAAATGCCTTTTTACTAACACTCGGATATATTGCCTGCTGCCATAAGAACCCAGTTGTGAACCAATGCCCTTTTATATGAAAACACCCAAAACAATGTATTAGTCCATTTATATAAGAGAGACATTTATGCCAACAACTGTAGTTAAAAACAGTTATTTGACACAGCTGGTAAATGTAAATGTCTTTCCAATTTGTGCTTGATTAACGTATGTTTCGTTATTACAGAATGACATACCCAAAATTAAATGTTGGCTCTAACATGTATTTCCTGAACATTAAATCAGTACACACTAAGAACTCTGTGGATATGTGTATCTACATTTGATAAATGCAGAAGTGCACTGGTTGGGAAATTAGTGTTTTAGCAGCTGCAACAAGAAGCTGTGAGACACTAAAATACACACACAGGCCGTTTCTCAATGTCGAGTAAACCTGCTGCAGAGCCACTATTTCAAGTATACTACGTCATCGAGTGGCGCCGAAGGACTGTTTAAATGCATGTTAAATGCCCAGCATTCGGCGCCACTCGATGACGTAGTATACTTGAAATAGTGGCTCTACAGCAGGTATACTCGACATTGAGAAACGGCCACAAACTCACAGGTGAAGGAGCAGACAAGGTTCAGGGCTCATTAAATCCCGCCTGTCAGGCAGCAGCTCCACTAAGGCCAAACATCCTACAACTCACCCGAACAAGGTTCCTGAGGCACACACGCACCTCTAGAAGCTCATAACCTGGCAACTTACAAGCAGCTGTATGTGCATGTCTGTGTGTGTGTATGTTCCCCCACACTGCTGCAGTGTGCTTTCACTCTCTCACACCGCAGGCACACAAACAGTCATAAGCAGCGGCAAGGCATTCATCTGTTGATCTACATTCCTGAGTTTCATGCAACCCATTAGTGCAAGCCATCTCACCAAAGTTAGTTTGAAAGATGGGAAGAACATCAAACAAGCCTTGCACACTCACATAAAAACAAGCGCACTTCCCAACACTGAGAAAATCTTGTCTCCTTTTTCTCCCCTTTCATCTTTGTTTCATTTCTGCCTCTCTTCATGCTTTTCTTTACTTCCATCATCTTAAATGTGTGTGCTTTAGCCTCTGATAAAGCAATACGTCTCTTAAAAACAACAGTGTGAATGTGCGTGTGTACATGTGCGTGTGAACAACTTTTCTTTAGCTTGCATATCGGAGACATGCTTTCTCTATCTGACCATTATTTTTCTTATAAAAATTCTGTGTTCAGCGTGTTTTCATCAAAACATTCACACTGCTGAGAAAAAAATGTGCCCTGCCTTCCTCCTTCAGGATGTCATCCTTACAATTTTCATGCAATATCAATTGCTGGTCAGTTATTCGCCATAAATTGACATTTGAAAACTGAAATAAGTTACACTTTTATATGTGCTGCATCCAAAAAAGATTTACATTTTCAATTGATCTGCCTTAAAATCAATACTTTGTCCAACTGTCTGAAACCCTAACAATATTTAGTTTTAAATGACGTAAAACAGAGAAAAGCACCAAATCTTCAACAATAAAATCCCTCAGACTTTCCACTGTTGTACAGCAGCCAGCAAGACAATGGATTCCTCTATAGACTATCACATATGTGTGGTTTACCTCATACTCTCCTTCCCACTCATGCTGTCAGGAAGAGCAGATTGAGACAATGCAGGTATAAAGCAACAGTCATTGAGTGTATGTTTGCATTTCTGGTAACAATCACACATGGATCAGACCTATAATGTGGATGCAGAGTATGTACAGTGCTGATAATTGAAGTCTTGGGAAAAACAGGAATGTTTTTAAACTCCAACAGTAAGACAGCATGGGAAAAAAAATATTTACAAAAAGTGTGCATAAATACATGGTGGTGCAATAAAAGTGCATTACACATTTCCATGATGTAGGTATATGTCAAGTGTGAATTAAGAACTGAACTCAAGTCTGCAAAGGTAACAACATTCCTTCAAAAATCTCAAGAAGAAGAACACCACACTGTATCCACACTCTATATATTTATACACACAAATATACACTCAAAGAATCACACACACAACCTTGCCCCACCATCACACATATTACTACTTGACAAGGCGTCCGTAAATACAGAGCCAGCAACACATTGACACGGAGCCCTCTTTTGACCCCCACATATGCATACGCACACTCAATACGTATTTCACTTTTCGCAGGGAGTGGCCACTTCCAACAACACTTGGACAGGAAGTTCTTTCCTCCTGCAGCCAGCCAATTAAAACACAGCGTTTGGTGGTGGAGGTTCCATTAGGAAGTCCCAGCTCCCCTGTGCACTCTCAGCTCCTCACACGACAGCCTCTGTTTTTTCCTGCCTGTCAATGCCAGGAACCCATTACGGAGCAGTGGTGGGGTTATAACGCAGGGGAACAATGTAAGGATGGACCTGGCCATTGTTCCTGACCGTTGTTAGTTGAGAGATGTCCGGTTGTGAGACTTTATTTCTGGCTGAGGTGAAGAGGAGGAACTTGTTTTAAACTCTACCTGAAGACATGGTTGTTGCCTCAATGTAAACTGCATCTGACCCTTATTCTTTAAGGTTCATACCAGGGTTAAGTAATGTTATCATCTTTTGGTAGGGCAGTCTTTGATGTTAAGAGTTGTTTGTTTTGTGCTATCAAAGAAACGCTAGTATCCAAGCTTTTGCTGCCACCAGATACTGTTTTAACAATTTGAAATCATACTATGAGTTGGACGTCGAAATAAAGCTGTATTATACACACTAATTGGTCAAAGTTAATCACAGAAACATGAAAAACTACTAAAACAGTATTCTGTAGTTGTTCACTTCCACACCAGAAGCTACAGCACAAAGGAAAGCCTTATTGTTCCTCTGATCTCCATTGTGCCCCTTTCTATGAACTGCAGCCCACCTCGATGACCCTTGTCCAGCTAAACTCACCCACTCACACATCATCCATGGAAACTCTACACACAAAAACACACGCACTATTGTTGATCTCAGAAACAATGCACACTGCACAGCATAACCCACTCGCATAAGATCAGAAGTGTTGATTTTTAACAGGAGTTGGAAACACTTTCAGATCTCAGCGGGAAACAGTGGCGTTTTCTGACAAAGATATGACACGGTAAACATTAAAAGCATTGTCATCCAAAAGGCTAACTAGATGGATGTTTCCTCCACTATCACTCACAAGAAAATAGGAGATGCTCTTTTGAAGAATCCATAGAATAAATGAAGTCTTTGGAATTTCTTCCTCATCAATGTTCAACACAACAAAAGGGACACGATAAAAGCAGTTTTATAAATAAAACTGAAATAAAAAATGTTTTACTCACTGGTAGCCCACCTGCTGTGCTCCACTATGGCCTTTGAAGAGATGCATCTGGTTGGTTATATATTCTGCATAAAGCTTTATCATCGAGTGGTTGACGTTGTGATGGGGATCAATAGGAATAACACAACTAAGCCTATGAAAAGAATCATGCGTCATCAAGGACATGACTCATTAACGTTTGAAATACTACAAACAGATC